GGCTTACCAAAATATTGAGGACTGTGCTGCTTTACTAACACTGAACTGTATGCATAATGGAATGAATGAAACAAAAACAACTAACAGAGCGAGCACAATGGCAAACCTAATACAAATCTGGGTATTCTACAAAATTAGATCTCTTGTTTTACCTAAGGTGACTCTGCTACGAAACCAAATGTTGAAATTAAAGCCTGTAGTGGCTAGTGCTAGTACCTTGCAGTACTGGGCTGCTCGGTTCTTATCCCAAGCCAGGACAATAACCGCATGAAGTTTGCATGTTCTCCCTGTGCTTGTGTGGGTTTTTTTAAAGTGACGCTAAACTCAGGAGCTAAATCTTAAAAATGCATTCAAGAACCTTAAAGGAGAACTATGGGGTAAGTGTTTTTCCCCATAGTTCTGCTAAGGGTCACAGGAGGACACAAACTAGCGTCCTCCTGTCACCCTAAGCTCAGTATACCGCGAGCTACAGCTCGCGGTATACCGAGACCGCCGCAGCCGGGACAGATCCCGACATTACTGTTGAGATCCACCCGGCTGCGTGATTGACAGCTGGCTCTGCCTATCTAGAGGCAGAGCCAGCTGTACCCGCCCCCTCCCCGTCCGTTCCGCCAGTCAGCCCTGGAGGATCGGAGCGGGGGGGAATCCATGCAGGGAGCCGTGAGTGACCGTCACGGCTCTCTGCAGGGACAGGATTGAGAAGTGAGCGAGCGACCCTATGTGTTCGCTCACTTCTCGATCTATTGAGCAGTTTCATTGTCACGCGTCTTCTCAAACTATGAGGTTGAGTGAAAATCACTCACCTCATAGTTCTCCTTTAACTATTACCAAAAATGTATGTTATTTGTGTATCACTCGGCTGTAGATCCTCAAATCATCTCTGAATTGGTGCTGACACTGTCCTTCCTTCTGGAGGGTGGCTACTTTTGTTCCCCATGGTCCCTGTGTGTGGTGTAAAGTAGTCACCACTCCAAGCTCACTCCTGTGAAAGACCAAGTGCCCATTCACACCATGTCTGGATCATCTCCAGACCAGATCAGATTGTTTCCGGACCCAAAATGCATCCTAATATATCCCTATACTATTTCTGGCCTCTGTTCCCACCAGCGCAGTTCGTTCCAGGCCAGACCAGAAAAATACTGCTTGTCCTATTTTGTCTGGTCTGGAATGTACTGGAACACATAAAAATGCATCGAAAATGCATACAAACGCACTGGAACACACCTGTAAGACCATTTTAAGCAAACGAAAAAAAAATATTTTATCCAAAACGCAGCAAAATTGCGGCAAAAATGCAATGCACTGCATTCCAGATCTGGTCCAGAAAATGGTGTGAACCTGCCCTAAAACTTCATTTCAAATTAGCAAACTAAACGTGAGATTTTAGCCCATCACATGATATTTGTGCAAATTCCTTGTGATAAAGAATTTGCACTTTGGAGGGAAAATTACCCTTCGGTTAGTAAATGAGGTGAAACTGAAGCTGACATCCATCATACAATCATACGCCATCAAAAATTGTGTTTTTTGCATTTACCTTGCACATGATTGGGTATTCTTTGCAAAGTGAAATTGCACCACAGTCACCAAGCTAAGGGAACATTCCCCTGCAAAGTGCAAATTCCCTTGTGATGTGAACAGCCTATTGACTCTTTAGTAAATCAACCCCTTAGAGACATCAAACTGAAAGACAGCAGGGGTGTTTAGGAATAGATCCCATGCTTTACAAACAGGTATGCAAACCTGAAAAAAAGGGAGTGGGGATGACTGATTCTCTTCTATATGTAAACCCAACCACTAAAACCTCAAATGATTTTTAGCATAATACTAAAATTTCAAAATTCATTTTTAATATTTTTTAATCTGCAGCATTCATTAAAACAATACCTGTTGATCCCATCATGAAAGTCCTTGCTCAGGCATTTCCTGTTATGGAGTGACAACACCCTGTCACTGTAACCCAACTACTCTCCTGTGTTGTCACCACGGCCATGTAACAGGATGATGCTTACTGCACAGGCATGACACACAGCTGCCTATAGACATAAAGTGGCAATAAGTCTGCAGGAGATCAGCAACACACAGGGACAAAAAAAAAAGAGATGTAAACGATATTTTCTAAAAGAACAAAAAGATGGCATTGGCTTAGGATATGCAGTGCTTTAGCAAATTAAAGTCATCAGTTAGAGTTTAGCTCTACTTTAACCTTTGATCCTTGTAAGTATTTCAATGCTTTATTCTTAGTGTACCTATAAGGTGCCCATACACAAAGGGGGCAGCTTAGGGTTGCCACCTGTCCAGGATTCACCCGAACAGTCCAGGTTTTGAATGCTGTGTCCAGGTTTCATGACAGCACAAACCCGGACACAAGATGTCAGGCAGATAGAGGCAACCAAAATTAGGATAGGGGCTGCTGGCCCCCCCCCCACTAAAAATAGTCTCAACTGTGATATTGACATATGAATGGATGGCGCTATTTACATATGAATAAGCCAAGATTCTCCCCAAAATATTTCCGCGCGTCGCTAGAGTGCTCGGGTTTCGCTTGAAGAAAAGGCGGCAACCCTAGGGCAGCTATACATGTTAGTATGGCCCAGCAATATGACCCGTATAATTACTGGATAAGCAGCAGTGGGAGATCTAAACACTCCATGGAGGCCACATGGTGCAATAGGCATAGGCAGGTAATGAGGTTATTAAAAGAAAGTCAATTGCAAAAAAAAGGAAATGCTGTAATGTTTTGGTTCCCTCTGGTCTATATCCCCATTTCCTGTATGGCCCTACTGTGCATAGTGTAGTGTAGATAGCATAGTGAAGTCTTCTTGTATTAGAGAATTGTATTAAAGGACAGAACAGCATTTTTCAAAAAAAAAAAAGTCCTCTGCACAACGACCTGATTTCAACCACACATGAAGACTTAATTGCTGAGAATACATCCAGGAATAAGAAATAATTGAAGTGCTTCATTTCTCTTATTCAGATTTAAGCACCTTGTAAAACCCAACAAAAGTCTTTTCACTGATGAACCAACATGGCAGATTAGCCAATTAGAACACCTAATTAAAAGAACTTAATCATCTTCCAACAGTAAAACCACTTATCGCTGCATTCGTCTAAGTAAATCCCAGTATGACTTTCCCCCGCACAACTTCTGTCGTTTGATTAAAACAAACTACTTAATTACAGCCCTGTTCTTCATATTCGAGCCCAAGTGCCACTTTCTCTGATGAAACAAGGAGTATTTCCCTTCTTTACAATTATTTAGATCAATACAATTAACAATAAAGTAGAATACAATGCTGAATCAAAGAGGATACCCAATCAATACCGGATAATTCCGCCCGTGTTTAAAGATGCAGCAGAAGATTCTCCTTTAATTACAGGATCACGAGATCGTGTGGGATAGACGTGGTTCAGAAAATGTGACAGCTGCCGTTTTACTTTCTATACACTCTTGTTGCACAGCGTGTTGAAGGTCTAAACATTTTTAATAACCGGTATGAGTCAGTTGGATCAGCAAATGGAAAGAGACAAAAGTCAATCGCATAAATCCTTCAGAATGCTGAAAAAAGGCATACACTACCAGGTACCAGGCATACACTACCGGTCAAAGGTTTTGGAACAGCTTTCAGTGAAATCTGGATTGAATCCTGGTTAGGACATTATCTACAAGGAGTTTGTATGTTCTCCCTGTGCCCTGTGTGGGTTTCCTCTGGACCTGCAGTTCTCCATCAGGTCCTCTTTTAGTGATTGACAGCAGCAGGGGGTGGGTGCAATAGTTGGTTTGCTATTTCACTTTGCAATAGCCAATAGGAATCTAGCTATGCATTTCTATGGTGGTTTTTTTTTAAATTCTGACAGCGTATGCCAGTGGTTCTCAAGCTGTGGGTCGCTGTGCGATTTCTGCTGTGCTAGGTGAGAGTTCTCCTCAGCCCTCTCCTAGCGCAGCAGTGTCAGTTCTCCCGCCATGTCGCTGCAGCAACCACGTCATACCTAAATTTTACCGCTGGGGGTCACCACAACTTGGCAAATGTTACCAAGGGGTCCCGGCCCTAGAAAGGTTGAGAACCACTGCTCTAGAACAACATAGCTGATTTGGAAACATTCTCCAAATCATCTTGCTTTCCAGTTCAGTTATGTTGTCCTAGATTGTTCACTTCTCCTGACTTCTCCAAACTCTTCACCCTTTTGTGAATAGTAGAGGTGCCCCGAAGTGAAAATTTCAAAACCGAAATGAAAAAAAATGCCAGGCCGAAACCGAAAATGTTTGTTATTCTAACTTTTTCACATTTATTTTAACATTTTAATTTATTTTTAATTTTTTTTATATTTTATTTTTATTTATTTATTCATTTTTATTAAATATTTTTATTTTTTACTTTACTTTTTGGAGCTTTGGGGAAATAGTAGGGGTCTGTACAGACCCCTGATATTTCCCTTTTAAAATAGAAAAGGAAATTGAGGACTATGTGTCCTCAATCTCTTTTTCTGCATCCCCAGTTATAAATGAACAGGAATCCTCTATGAGTGTTCCTGTTCATTCATAACATGAGAACAGAGTATGGTTGCTGTAACCCCAATCATGAATGAACAGGAGGTGATGTAGATCACTTCCCATTCACTCATAATTGGGGATATAGTAACTATACTCTGTCCTCAATTATGTAGAAACACTCAGCGATCGGTGATCGCTGAGTGTTTGTACCCGCTCTCCATCCTGACAGCTGTCACAGGAGGCTGGGCGGTGTGGGAGGAGAAGCGCTGGCGCTCGGCCGCCTGTGACAGTTTCTCTCCTCCCCACTGGGACACAGAGCAGCGCCGAGATGGGAGGAGAGAATACACGGATGCACCGCTGTATCGGCCAGAAAATTTAACTTTCGGCATTTTGCCAAAAGTGCAATTTTCGGCCGATATGTTTCTGCAGCGGATATCTCGGTGCATCCCTGGTGAATAGCCCTGTCAATGTTACACCAGAGAGAATGCCAGAGATTAGTTGTTACCTTTTTCCTTGCGTCAGTGAGATGAGACAGACCAAACACAGTAGCCACAGCACCCCCTCCGAGGACGAGCGAGCCTTTAATCACATTTCGGAAGGCCATTTCACCTGCAGACAAAAGTATAACGTTACTCTAGAACTGGGAAATTAAACTTTATCTCGTATAATACAGAAAACCAGCAAGCAGCAAGTAAACATCTGCCTGAAATTAGAAAGTTGTAACATGTACTTAGAATTGTAAGTTTGTATATACAATTTCCTACTCAGCCCTTCAGTGAACTGAACCTGATATGAGTCACCGCTTGGCTCAGGATATGGTAGTGCTTGAATGTCAGCAGCAAGAAACTTTAAAATTAGCAAGTGCCAAATGCGGGAATGACTGCCGTGCCAGACATAACACTTTACGAGTTCTAGTATGGTCCCGGGTGACTCTCCTTTTTGTCCTCATGCTGTAGATCAGGCGACATCCCAGGAGCGCGAGAGCCAATGACTCCCCAAAAATTACAGCCTGCACTTGAAATCGTATGTAAACCCAAATGTGATTTTTCAATATGTTTGGCATCATAACTTACCCTATTCAGTTTTCTTTACCAAATAGTTTTTTGGGAAGTCTGTTGCAAAGTTTCCGTACTTGGAGATCTTGCCAGTAACAGCACTTCCAGCTGCATGCTGGCAACGCTAAGCCACTGCCTCACATTTAGCAGCAGCGTTGTCAGTCTGCCGTGCATGCTTCTTCAGTTGGCCTTTGAGCCGCCTAATCAGGGCTTCCCCTTCAGGACCCCAGTAGAATTCAAGTGCTAAGCTTAGCTTCAATGAGGACTTTGGGTGAGTGAAACACACTCAACCCCATAATTAGAGCCGACGTGTGACACTGAAGCTGTGCGATAACGGAGCGATAACATTCTACCAATTGCTCAGTTCCCAATCATCTCCCTGCAGAAAGTGGTGACTGTCAGTCACCACTCCCTGCAGGGATTCTCCTCTCCCCTCTCGATTCCTCCAGCACTGACTGGGGAGACGGACGGGGGATGGGGCGGGCAGGTAGTGGGGTGGATCCCCACAATATTGTTGGGCTGCAGTGCGGCTCTGCACTTGCAGCATACAGCGGGCAATAGCCCACTATATGCTGAGTTTTGAGTCACAGGAGGACATTAGCAGGGCAGCCATCAATTTTGGGGCCCCTTACCCGGCTTTAGGCCGGGCCACCGGGCCCCTGGACGCAGGGCTTAGTGACGCACTGGACGCAGGGCTTAGTGATGTGCTGGACGCAGGGCTTAGTGACGTGCTGGACGCAGGGCTTAGTGACGTGCTGGACACAGGACCCACCTGAGAGTGACCCTGCAGAGCCCATCCGAGACTGTCTATGGTGGGCTTTGAAGGGGTCTCAGGTGGGCTGGTCAGGGCTGCATCCCTCCCCTCCCTCCTTTCCTTCCTAGCTCCTCTTACCTGCACACACATGGCCTCGTCTGCCGCCGGACCGGCCAGAAGTGACATCACTTCCGGCCAGTCCGACATCAGACGAGCAGCGTCGCTGATGGGGCACTAGCATGTCTCAAAGCCACTGTAGCGGCAATGCTGGGGCCCTGCGCTGCTAGGGCCAGGCCTCCGCCTCCTCGCACTTCACTGTCGGCCGATAGTCATGTAAGGGACCCGGGCGGGCCCCCCAGGCTGCCCGGGCCCCTTACATGAGTATCGGCCGTACCCCCCTGATGGCTGCCCTGGACATTAGTATGTGATCTCCTGTGACCCTAAAGAGGAGTATGGCAAAAAAAAGCTTGGGCCATAGTTCTCTTTTAAGTGCCTTATAGAGACTGGTGTTCTGTGCTTTGTCCAGCTCCAGTGGCATACAATCTTCGCAACATGAAGAACCTAAAGCCCTGGAGAAAGAGGCACCTTCACCCTCCTAAATGCATTGGCTGTTCCTTACCATTGACAATAATACAAACACTAACAAACTGCTGATCTGAACCATTATCTGTACTAGGCACTCCTCCCCTTGCACTCAGAGACTGATGCACTAACACTTCTTTGGGTTCCAACAGGGGTGCAGCAGTCAAGGATCGCAACACCGTACCTATACACCTGTACCACAACCATGATCAAAACCAATACTGTGCTAGCACGTACTTACCACTATTATTAAGGCCAGAGGGGTCTAGTATTTTCAGAAAGAAAGGTCTGCAACTGGAGCCCCCAACTTGAACTCTCTTTGATTGGAATTCCTAATAAAAATGGGTGCCTGTTATACAAAGTGCCGCGTTATTCTTACAACCGCTAACATGTTTACTTTAAAAGGTAGTGGATGTCTGGCTCTTGAAGCCTAAATGAATTTGCCAACTTCTGTTGCAGTTCTTTTTGCTGTAACTGCCTCCAATAAGCCAGCACAATCAGAGCTCAGGTATCTAGATTGATCTATCCCTCTACAATAAATAAGGGCAGGTCTGTTTGCCAACTCAAAGCCAAGCTGAGCACTACAGGGAGCATGCTTGGATTCAGATTTCAGAGCACCGACCCATCTAGTTCTCAGGAAAGGTATTATAAAACCCAGATAAACAGGTAAATGTAAATAAACTTCTTATAAGCACTTCAAGCTTAGCCTATGATCTTTGCCCCATCTATCCCACCTCCTGAGCCTTCCTTATGGTGAATGGAGCAACCCACCAAATTAAAGGGCAAGGTTTGGGGGATGGGAGGGGATGAAAGAGCTGAGATTTACCTGAAATTTCAGCCTTATATATCTGGGTCTACAAATTGTTCTAATTTGCAGTTTGTACTGCCGAAAGCCCCTCCCTGGGCAAAATTTTGGGTTTAGATATTCTTTAATTTGATCTGAAAAGCCTTACTACTTTTACCTGTAATGTTTTTAGGTTCCTTCTACCAGATCTCCTCTAAAAGAACTTTAACAGCTTGTGTAACCCAGCACAATTTTCGTGCATCTGAAATGCATGTCAGCAGATTCTAATTCAATGGAGTAGTGTATAGGGGGGGTCTAATGGGAAGGGGGGAGAGAACTCTGATGTGAAGGGCTCCTAATGTGAAGGTGGGGTCTGATGTGAAGGTGGGGGGACCCTGATGTGAAGGTGGGGGGACCCTGATGTGAAGGTGGGGGGCTTAAATGTGAAGGGAGGAAGGCCACATCATCTTAATTTTTTTAGCCTGTTATCCCACCTAAAAATCCACACCAGACCCCTGTCTAGGTTAAGGGTTTGGTACTGATTTGGTCGGGGGAGGCACATGTCATTTTTTACATTTATACTGGGGTGCCACCGGATTTGGCATACTTTTAAAAAGGTGCCATGACTGAAAAGTGGTTCAGATGTAGATGACAGTGCAGAGACTGCATTTGATTGCTTTGCGATGCAATGTTTTTCTCTGCACACAGCATGTTCTATGGAGGTGCGTTTGAATTGCAGGGAAAGGTCAAACGCAGCCCTTTCTTGTCAAACATTGCGTTTTGCTTTGAAAGCATGCCTTTGAACAGCACTGCATTCAAATGGAAAAAGCTGCAGTTGACAAGACTGCTGATCTACATGAGTCCATATACAGTATTTGTGGCCTTGATTGCACTTGGTGCTCCATCACTGCCTCAACACTCCTCAGTATACCTTCAGCCCATATAGATTTTAAACTCCTTTATGAGCAATATGTCTGTGAAGGTTCTCCTTCATCCAGGTCATGGTATATCTGTACAAAATAAGTCAAGGCAACTGGACTTGCTGCATTGAAGACGTTTCGCTGGTCATCCAACCAGCTTTCTCAATTCAGAATGACTTGTACCAAAAAATTATCTGGGAATAAATATGGTGAATGTTGCAGATTGGAGCACTGGTCTTTTAAATAATCTGTAATAAAGGCATCTTACTAGAAAACACAACATTTCCAAGAAAACATAACTGAGACAAAGGACTGTCCCACAAATCGAGGAACATTTTGCTCCTCCATTACACAAGCACGTCCCCTTCAAAAAGTCACGGAATACAAACAGCTTCTTTATTTTTTAGGACAATGTATTTTACAAATCATGTTTTGCCCTAAAAAATCTGCAGTACTTTACAGAGCATATAGAGCAGGGGTGGCAAACACAAGGCCCGCGTTAAAAAGCAAAGTACTGATAACACAGGAGATCCACCCACAGAGAAAATGTTTTACTAAATTGTACAATAATTGTACATTTGAATATCTGCTTGCTGTTATTCTTCCTAGGCTTCTGTTTTCAAGGCTAGTTATTACTTAAATTATTATTAAAACCAGTAGCAACTGAATGCAGAGGCAACTATTTATGATAATAAAGAGTAGATGCATAGTCCTATACAACCGGCCCTTTGAGGGTAACCATACTGCTGATGCGGCCCCCGATGAATTTTAGTTTGCCACCCCTGATATAGAGCATTCGTTTAAGTACCTGTCCCCAGAATGTCCTTTAGCCTATGGGGTTGAATGTAGTGCTGCAACTAATGATGATTTTCATAATTGATTAGCTGGAAGATAATTTTTTTGCTTAATTGGTTAAAAAAAAAAAACCATCCTTAGTTTAAAATAAAATGCAAAAATTGAGCTTTATTCTGAAGTAAAGTTTTTGTTTATAACACGGCATTTGTGTAATCGTACTGCACTGGAACGCTCAGCATTGCGGTACCGTGCATTCCAGTGCAGGCAATCACACTGTGGGTGGTAGGCGTGTTTGGGGTGCCATTGAAATGAATGGCATTGCAACGAACCTCCAGCAGCAGAATTTGTCAGGCCGGAAACCGAAAATTACTTTTTTCCCACCCTTTATATATTTTTCTTTTTTTAATAACTGTATTGTAAGCACATGACGCTTGAATATCTTCAGCCGGGAATGACAGCTGCCAGTGGTAAGATTCCGCAGATGGCAGCTGAATGTGAATACAGCAGGTAGTGGGCTGGTGCAATAGCTAGCCAGCTATTGGCCATTTCAAATTGCAATAGCAAATAGCAGGCTGGGCTATTGCACCCACCCTCTGCTTGCTGTGCCCTCCTCCCAGCGTGGAGGAGAGGGCTAGGGATTTCAACCAACTAATCGATAATGAAAATAGCTGACAACTATTCTCATTATTGATTAATCGATTGGTTGGTTGCAGCCCTGC